GCATTACTAACCCAAGTAACAACATTGTGTGCTTGACACTTACAAAAGAATCTATCTATATTCTATAATTTCAAAAGCTAATCAGATATTTCTTAATTTAATTAAAAAACTAGTATGATTAATACCATAAACTTTTGACACAATTTTAGAGACAAAGTTAGGTTTTACTCCGAATGAAAATATACTATTGCATTTTTCTATTGAATGAAAACTATAACCTGGTTTGATTTTAAGACTTTTCACATTCTATGTGCGGTTTGGTATAAACTAATGATTGATGATTCTACAATTATTATGTCTTGTCCAGTTACAGTTATCTATGTTTTAGCTCAAAAATGTCAATAAAATACTAATATTATGAACGTGAATGAAGGATTAATTGATTCATTATTACATGTGTTCAAAAGCATCCATCCAAAATCGCCCACTGGTTGATTTGCTTTTCTGAATTCTGATTCAAAGAAACCTTTTTTTTCTGTGCCACTGCCCCTGGTTTTTTACATACATTATCTTTCAAATGTTGAATTATTGGACCCAATCAACAATGCCTTTTTATTCAATTAAAAAAAACCTATTTTTGTGGATTTTTAAGATGATCCAACAACTCCTAAGAAATTATAAACTATAATAAATATCCACTTATTTGAAGTCTTTACTAAACTTGGACTCAACACTTTTTAATTAATTAATCTAGTTATTCTGTTAAGACAGTTTTTATCACTTTTTGTAGCACTATATATACCTCGTCTAGTTATATCACTTCATCAAACAAATACTTATCATAGCATATTTATTAACAAAAACATATACTTAACATAGATATGGCAATTCCTGTGATAGATTTTGGCTCTCTCAATGGAGACAAAAGAGGTGAAACTATGGCCCTTTTGCATGAAGCTTGTCAAAAATGGGGTTGCTTTCTGGTACATGAATTAACATTTCTATGTGACATTTTTTTAATGTAACAAAGTTTTTTGGTGATTTTAATGTAACATGTTACTCATGCAGATTGAGAATCATGAAATTGAAGGGAAGCTGTTGGAGAAAGTGAAGAAGGAAATTAATAATTACTATGAAGAAAACCTGAAGGAAAGTTTCTACAAATCTGAGATAGCAAAGAGTTTGGAGAAAAAGCAGAACACTGGCGATATCGACTGGGAAAGTTCGTTCTTCATTTGGCATCGTCCGACCTCGAACATTAGGAAAATTCCAAATCTCTCCGAGGAGCTTTGGTTAGTCAATTCAAATTCTAACATGTGTCTTCAGTAACTGGTCGAACTTTGTATCTAAACATCGTGTGTTTCTATGTTAGCGGTTTTGTATCTTAATTCTTTTGAGCTAAGTTGAATTTTCTAAGAGTGTTTTTGTGTAAATGCAGCAAGACAATGGATGAGTACATTGAAAAACTAGTTGAATTGGCAGAGAAATTATCTGCGCTAATGAGTGAAAATCTTGGTTTGGAGAAAGAATACATAAAGAAAGCATTTTCAGGAAGTAATGGAGCAGCTATGGGAACAAAAGTGGCAAAGTACCCTGAATGTCCATTTCCAGAGTTAGTGAGAGGATTAAGAGAGCACACAGATGCTGGTGGAATCATCCTTTTGCTTCAAGATGACAAAGTACCTGGTCTTGAATTCTTCAAAGATGGAAAATGGATAGAGATACCACCTTCAAAAAACAACGCAATTTTTGTCAACACAGGTATAGCATAGCACAAACACTTATGATCGAACGTGTGTCTGACACATGTCCACCAATATATATTATTAGTGCTTTCGCGTTAGTGTCAGATTATCATTTTAATGATTTTCCAAATCTTATTAACAGGTGATCAAATTGAAGTGATGAGCAATGGTTTATACAAAAGTGTTGTGCATAGGGTCATGCCTGATAAGAATGGAAGCAGACTCTCTATTGCTAGTTTCTATAATCCAGTTGGAGAAGCTATTATATCTCCTGCTCCTAAACTCTTGTATCCAAGTAATTATTGCTATGGAGATTATTTGGAGCTTTATGGAAAAACTAAGTTTGGAGAAAAGGGTCCTAGGTTTGAATCCATCAAGAATAAGGCCAATGGGCATTACTAGACACTAGTACTGTTACAATCTTGTGTACTTTCAAAAAAAATTTAACACCCTTAATTTCTATTTGATGTAACAAGTTTCCTTTTTCTTTTATTTTCTTTTTTCATGTTATATGAATAACAAAGAAATGCATGTCTTTTCCTTGATTCTATAAAGGGAAAAACTATAAGTAAAGCTTTTCTTTATCCATAATTTTCTCTTCCTAGTTTTTTTTTGGGATTTTCCATGTTATGTTAATGTGCAAATCTTAACGGTATTTCGATCTTTCCACGACAATCTCAATGATCAATCTAGCCACTCAATAAAATTTTAACCTGCTCTTTAAATTAATGTTACAGACACGTCTCATTCATTTAAGATCGCCGATTTTAACAAGTTTATACTCTCATTAGTCACACATCGACTACGAATGAGTTAGCCTCCAAGACAGACAACGAGTGCATCTGTATGTTGAATTCAACTTATGTGCAAGAAAAATAATGTATTTGAAGATTGAGAAAATTGGCACGAAAGGACTAACGCACAAGAAACAGTGCTATAACATTAAAACAAATCATTGACATACAATACGAACGAATTCCCCATCACAGTTACAGTTACTGCTGATAAGTAAATACACTGCTATAAATTCAGATTTCATATTTCTCTTAAGCGGCAGAGAGCTTCCTTGAGTATACGATGTACATCGGATCCGAACGTCCAGGATTTGGAGATATATCCACAGCCTACAGAGAAGGAAAAAGTGGCCTCAACATTTGTAACACTATCACATGATCATGTCGTATACAACATTGCAGACTTTCATATTTGTTTCATGACTAGTAAAAGAAAATCGTGTGACACTTATATCACGTGATGCATTATCATTACAAGTTTCCCTCCATGATCGGTTATCGAAACACAAATTATAACAATATGGATCCATCACAAATGGCTAAGAAGTAAAATATGCAACAATGGTGAGAGGTAGTAAGCTTAGAGACTCGTGCTACTTGAAGCTTGTCAAAACAAAATGGGAAAATATCGGTGAGGAAATTACCTGAGGAGGTTCAAATCCTCCCGCGTAATGAAAATAGGACCCAACAATCATAACGTGATCAGCATCCCCAGATGATGCCCATACAGAAATGGCTTTTGTCGGGAAGCATCGGTTTGAAAAGCTGAAATCATCGACGAATTCATCCATAGTTGAATAGAACCATAAGAGGTACAAGACCAATAATCGATATAACATTGTAAAGCAGATTAATGGTATAGGTGAAAAGATGAAGTACTTGTTTTAATGCAATTATATGAAACAGAGAAGATTTGTCACCTCATTATGGCTAATCCACCTGGTTTGAGTATCCTGCTCATCTCCTTGAAAATATCAAGAGGCTTTGTAAGGTAATCAACACTGACCTGCAGGGCATAGTCAATAGTGTCATTACTCATTACTGATAATTGCATTGGTATCATCAGTGTTTAGTACCAAATTTCTCATGAAAGAATACTAAACTCAACAGTAATTACAGAATCCTAAGCTATAATTACTAACAGAGTAAACTTATAATTAAAATGATTAACAGATAAATGAAATTCAAAGAAACTAGTGCATAAATACGCATCATACAATTTGTGCATCACTTGCACTAGTTTCCAGCACCAAAGTTAAAACTTATGAATGAGTATTTTTACCACATTAGTGATGACATCGAACGAGTTATCTTCAAACGGGAGTTTAGGGTTCACATTTAAGTCTTGTACAGCATACTCCGTGAGAACCTACAGCAGCAAACAACCACTTCTATCAGTAAGGTAATGTTTCTCAAGCAGATAAAAACCATTAAGAATCTTGAGATGTAACCGTGTCATTGATTTTCAATTGAATTTAAGTTTTGGCAATAGATAATATTCAGGTTATGTAATATTAGACATGAATGAAAAACCAAACTAGTAGAATAATCTTAAGGTACCAAATTCAGTTCTAGAATTAGTTAAGTTTTTCTTACCGGGTTCCTCTTCAATTCTTCTTCATTCATGCCTAATCCTACGACTCGTTCTTGCTTGTATTCGGATGGAAAATGGCTGATCTAATGTCAAAGTGAAGATTCATAAATCATGATAGAATATGTATGCAATGCCAGAAAAAAGAAAGAAAAAGAGTAACAATACTGAATCTCTTACCCAACTGCTACACATATCCAAAATGCTTACTCCAGGAGTGTTGCTAGGTGGAAAAACCTTAGAGTAATACTTAGTTAAAGCAGCAATTGCAGGATCATCAATGTGTGTCACGAATCGAGGTGATTCATAGAATGTGGAATCTGATGACCTAATAGCGAAATTTCTCTGATATTACATACTAAACTAACAAAATATAAGGGGAAATTAGGGTTTAAACTTACTCATCAAATCTATCAAAATCCTCATCCTTAAAAGGGAATTGCTCTGGCCATTCAACATTCTTCAGTATCTGCAAAAACACAAAAATGATTGAATTCTCATCAAATTCCAAACAACAAGTAGGAAAGTTCAATTATACGGGAATATAATACTACGTGTATCTTCCTATAAACCCTAAACCCTAAACTCTAAATTGAAAAAGTTGATGCATCTAGTCTTAGTTTTGAACTAGATACATCCACTTTTCATGTATCATATTTTGTTTATATTGCGGGGATGATAAGAGACCTGGTCGACGGAGGGGCCGGAGCTTATTCTGGCGGATGCAAGGAAGGATTTGCCACTAGAAGCATACATGTTAGTGGTAAAGTGAGACAAGAATGAAGATGCTCCTAAGGCTAATAACATGCGGCGAGGAGCATTCTTAAATGTCCGGTTTAATCGAGATGAAGAGGAAGAAACAACAGCAACATTAGAAGAACGGTAACAGGCCACAACCGGTAACCTTATTCCAACAAAATTGGTCATCATTCTTCTCAATCAGCTAGACATTAGTCTGCTGCTACTGCTACTTTTTTGCTACCCAAAAAATCTAGTTTAGTCTATGAACATGATAAAATTGTGACATTACGTGGCATCTTATCCTCTCTTCATCTCATTGCTATTTGCAAGACTTTTTTCCTAATCATTATTATTGGGCCTTATGGCTGAAGCATTGGTTGGGTCCTTATATCACAATTCCAATTTAATTAGGGGCTACTTTGTACACCCCATTGGATTGGAGGCTACTTCACCATGATAAAAAGTCACAAATATTTTTAGATTTTGAAGACTCACCTCCGAACACACGTAACATTTTTGTGAATGAGTCGCTCAATATTGTTTAAAAATGTGTCTAGAGATGCATCTTTGTATTCATATTGTGGTGAATTCGGTGGTGCATCTCTATAATAACTCTTATTTTCAAATTCAATAAATTTTACGTTCAGTACGTTTTACGTAGATACTCTCCAGGCGAGTTTCAATTCATATATCTCGCATCAGACATTTTTCCCTTCCTACTTCATTTTCCACACTTTCAAAAATCCTTCAAAGAGCTCGTGAGTAAGAATCGACTAGGCCATGTTTCAAGCTTTGACACTACTTTTACCTCATTAAAATCAATCCCAGGACATTCCATTCACTCCATTCAAGCTTTTACAAAGCACCTCTCAACCGTATGTTTCTCATTTCCTTATTTTAGTTGTGATTCAAGTATTAGGTAAATAAATTGTTTAAGATGTATTATGTTGTAGTTACATTAAAAATAGGTAGCTTGTATATGCATGCATTTACGTTTGTTGATGCTTAAGACATCATAGAGGTTTTTTGCATTTTCTACCATCGTGGCTTTTTACGAAGATGCATCTCAAATGTTTTCCTTTACTGTGTTACAAAGACGTATTTTCGAATTTTTCTTTCTTGTGTTTTTGTAACATTTTGATATTGATATGATTTTCTAGTTTTAATATAGGTACAATAGCTGAAAACTAGGACAGATTAAGGCACGGTCGAGTGGCCCAACATGCATCGGTTCGTAGACAGAGGGTTAAACCCTCACGACTGCCTGTTGGTGCAACTTCATTTGATCATGAAGCGTCAACTTCTGGAGCTCACATGTCTCTAGTGCCATCTTCTAGGATGAACCTTCCCCTATAGCCCCTGAAGCCCAATAGGAGGAACTTGCCGTTATTGTTGCTCCGTTCGTGGTAGTTCTCCAGGAGTCCCCTATGGCACCTCCCTACTTTCTCTCTATGCAGACCATGCTTCTAGGCATGTGTGAGAAAGAGATACGGTACATATGTTTAATTACTTATGCATTACATTTGTTTTATATTAATTGAATTGATTGATGCTATTGTTTTTTTACTGTTAAATGAAATGGTAAAAAACATAAACCACAGCTTGACGATTTTGAATCTACCAGAGCATAAAGAGGCATGGTTCAAGATGTATTGCATTTATATGGGTTACAAGGTTTATGCGTGACTGGGTATAATACCTTTAATCATGACACATTGACGACTTTTGTGGAGAGATAACACAATGAGATATCATTTTTTCATATTCATTAAAAGGGAATTGCTCTGGCCATTCAACATTCTTCAGTATCTGCAAAAACACAAATATGATTGAATTCTCATCAAATTCCAAACAACAAGTAGGAAAGTTCAATTATACAGGAATAGGAGAGACATTAGGTGTTCAATCCAAACATGCTAACATTAGGGTAGATTTCCCTTTCAATCCCAACTTTAGGTCCATTTTGCATGACAACGTTAGGGTTGAGTTTCCCTTAGACCTTTTGTGCGTCTCTCTTCTCATCTCAAAACACATTCTAACTCATCTAATAAATACGATGAATGTTGTACGCTACGAGCCTTAAGCACATGGGGAATGATGAGTGAGGGGCCTCCTCTCGCTTGCCTAGAGTGTTTAGTATACATCCCGTCTGTGGGCGATATGTGACGCATTCGTTCCTTTGTCATAGTCTTTAGTGCAACATGAATCACAAATCAAACTAGCTCACTTCACTAAAAAAAAAAAAACAAAACATCAAAAAATTTATTTCGGGATTAATTGAAAACCATTTTCAGAAAGAGTGTGTTAAACTCTTAGTTCTACCGCAAACAGGTAATGCCTAAGTCTCCAATGGTCGAGCAGTAATACACCTAACTGCTAGAACGAAGGTTTAACCCTACTCAGTTAAAACACTTGAACCAACCTCTGGCCGTGTCATCCCGAACTACGTTTGCTCTGATTTCTCGTACCAGACGAGGATACGTAGGCAAAAGACTGCGATGTCTTGGCGAGCAACCTTCCCCCCTTCACCCGTATTTTTCTGAACTACGTTGACTCTGGCTTTCCCATTGTACGATGGAATACGTAGGCATAGAGCGAAGATGTTCTATTGAGTCTCTTTTCTTTTCTTTTATTCCTGTGAGCCAGCCTTTGATAGATAAACACACCCTCTGATTAGATAACAAACGTGGATCCCGTTGAGTACAACGGACGTGAGGGGTGCTAATACCTTCCCCTTGCGTAACCGACTCCCGAACCCAATATTTGGTTGCGATGACCTTGTCTTTTCCTTCTTTCGTAGGTTTTCTCTAATTGTTTCCTTTCCCTCTTTTTGGGATAAATAACGAACGGTGGCGACTCTTCTGTTTTTTCGCCGGGTGTTTTCGTAGTTGCGACACATGTAAATTCGCAAGCGACGGTGGTAAAGCAATATCCACGCTTCCGCTGTGCCACTCTGATACGGACCAAAAAAACATGGTGTGAGACTTCAAGACTTCAAAGCTCGGCTAACACCAGTTACCGGCGTAACTCTCAAAAACACGTGATCTCCTTCATGGAATTCAAGTGTTTTTCTCCTCTTATCATGGTAACTCTTCTGACGACTCTGCGAAAATTTCATCTTTTCTTGGATCCTCTTGATCTTGTCAGTCATCTCTTGTGCAATCTCAGGTCCGAGTACAACACTCTCGCCTAACTCATACCAACATAATAGAGTCTTACACTTCCTTCCATACAAAGCCTCATACGGTGCCATTCCAATACTAGAATGATAACTGTTGTTGTAGGTAAACTCAATCAATGACAAATGGCTATCCCTCAATCCACCTTGATCCAACACATAAGCTCTCAGCAAATCCTCTAAAGATCGGATAGTTCTCTCTGTTTGTCCATCCGTCTGCGGATGATAGGCAGAACTCAATTTCAACATGGTACCCAAAGCGTCTTGTAAACTCTTCCAGAATCTCGATGTAAATCTCGGATCTCCATCTGACACAATACTTGAAGGGATACCATGCAGTTTCACAATCTCATCAATATATAATTTGGCCAGCTTCTACAACGAATAAGTGATCCTCATCGGTATAAAATGAACTGATCTAGTCAATCTATCCACAATCACCTAAATCAAATCATATCCCTTTAAAGTCTTCAGTAGGCTTGTCACAAAGCTCATAGAATTTCTATTCCCATTCCCACTCTAGAATATTCAACGGTTGCATCAGACTCAACGGTCGTTGATGTTCAATCTTCATCCTCTGACATGTCAAACAAGCTTAAACAAGCTCGGGAATATCTTTTTTCATACCTAACCACCAAAACAATTTCCTCAAATCCTGGTACATTTTCATAGCACCGGGATGGATACTCAATCTACTTCGACGTTCTTCCTCAAGAATACTCTTTTTCAACTCAATAATATCTAGAACACAAACTCTATCACGACATATCATGATACTATTTTCATTAAGCCGAAAATTAGCTCTTCGACTTTGATTCATCAAATTCAACCGATCTACCAACTTAAATCAAATTCCTGACCCTCTCGAATCTCATCAAGAATACCACTAGTAAGCTTCAACATATCAAGCTTAACTCTATAAGAAGTCTCTTCACAAACCAAACTCATATCACGAAATTGCTCACTCAATTCTAACTCTTTTACCATCATCATCGATATATGCGAGGATTTCCTACTCAATGCATCAACTACCACACTTGCTTTATCCGAATGGTAATTCAAACCAAAACCATAATCCTTTAGAAGTTCCAATCATCTCCTTTGCTTCACATTCAATTCTTTCTGATCAAAGAAATACTTCAAACTCTTATGATCACTAAACATCTCAAATCTCGAACTAAACAAATAATGGCTCTAAAGCTTCGACACAAACACAACAACAACCAACTCTAAATCCTGCGTTAGATAATTCCTCTCATGCACTTTAAGTTGCCTTGAAGCATAAGCTAAAAATTGTTGATGTTGCATTAACACACCTCTTCATCCCATCAACGAAGCATCACAATATACAACAATGGTTCTGCCGGATTCGAAAAAATCAAAACATGAGCTGTTGTCAGCCTTCTCAAAAGCTCTTGAAACTTTCTTCACACTTTGCATCCAAAACAAAAGCTTGAACCTTCCTAGTCCACTGTGCCAATGGTAAAGATAACTTGGAAAAATACTTCAATGAATTTTCAATAATAATCTGCCAACCCAAGAAAACTTCTAATCTCAAAAACAGGATTTGAAGCTTCCCGTTGCGATATAGCTTCAACCTTCGACATATCAATCGCAATAACTATACTCGAGATCACACGACCATGGAAATTCACTTCCTTCAAACAAAACTCACACTTTGATAGTTTTTCATACAATTGCTTCTCTTTCAACGCTGATAACACAATTTTCAGATGCTCAGCATGATCCTATTTACTCTTCGAATATATCAGAGTATCATCAATGAACACAACCACGAACTTGTCCAAATAAGGATGGAAAATCCTATTCATAAACTCCATAAATACACATGGTGCATTAGTCACACCAAATGGCATCACGAAATACTCATAATGTCCATACCTTGTTTTAAAAGCAGTCTTCTGAATATCTTCAGCTTTCACACGAATCTGATGATACCCAGATCTCAAATCTATCTTATCGAACACACTTGCAACAACCAACTAATACA